TCTAGTACATTTTAAGTAGGAGGGAACGTTAAAAAGCAAATAATTCCTAACTTTACAAATGGGGAACTGTATTTAGTCTATGGACTTTTTAAAAAACACACGGCCAAGTTGCTTCTAGGTGTTTGGAATCTTTCCATTATACCCAACCACATCTTTAATATCTTTCTAAAAACCAACACATTATGAATACCTTTTGATTCAAGTAAAAATGGATAGATAGATAGATAGATAGATAGATAGATGAATATATATGTGTATTTTTCTCATTTAATCTGTTATTCATGGTTCATTTCTTAAAATTAGATATTGAAATTCACATGTGAAAATATAAATGACAGGGGCAACTAGGTGGCTTCAGTTGGTAAAGCGTCTGCCTTTGGCTCAGGTCATGATCTCAGAGTCCTGGGATGGAGCCCCACATCAGGCTCCCCCCTCAGTGGGGAGTCTGCTTCTCCCTCTCCCTCAGCCCCTCCCCCCTGCTCATTCTCTCTCTCTCAAATAAATAAATAAAATCTATTTTAAAGAAGAAAATATAAATGACATTCAAGACAAATACTCTCAATAAATCAAGCATATATCACAAAAATATGATGAAATATTTTCTAACTAAATCTCAGAAATATTATTTAAACTAGCCAGTTTTATGCATTGTTATTGGCAATTTAATACTTTAATAACGGTTTGTTCATATCCCCCTGAAATGTGACTCACTCACTTTTATGAAAAGTTGCACCCCTGTATCTTTGTATTTTATTCCATTAATTTTGTATGACAATTCTTTTTTGGTTGTTTATATTCCCTTTCTAACCCAGTTGCAAAAAAAAAACTATTGAAAATAACTGATCTTGGCTGATGTAGGATTTTTCAGCTGATTTATTCAAGTATGGTTATTACATGGTATTATAGACAGAACCATGGCCTCCCCAAAATGTCCACGTGCTAATCCCTAAAACCTGCAAATATATTACCTTCCTTGGCAAAACAGACTTTGTAGATACAATTAAGTTAAAGACCTTGAGATAGAGAGATTATTTTGAATTATTTGTATGGTAGTGGACCCAATGTAATCAGAAGGGTTCTTACAAAAGGAAGCAGAGGTGTCAATCAAAGTAGGAGTTGTAGCAACAGAAACAGAGGTTGAAGTGATATGAGGAAGGGCGGTGAGCCAAGAAATGCAAAGGGCTTCGAGAAGCCGTAAAAGGCAGAAAACAAATTCTTTCCTAGGACCTCCAGAAGGAACTGTGATTCAACATCCTTGATTTCAGGACTTTTGACCTCCAGAACTGTAAGATAATAAGTTTGCATTGTTTTAAGTAATTAGATTTGTGGTAATTTGCTACAGCAGCAGGAGAAAACTAATATATATGGGAAAAAAATGTACAGCCATATTTAAGGAATGGTGTGATTTGGCATGACCTGAAGGCATTCTGTCCTGCATTTAAGTCAAAGACTGTGCAACACCAAGATTGAACTGTAATATAAACTATGGACTTTGGGGATTATGGTGTGTCAAATTGTTCATCAATTGTACAAATACAGTGTGCTGATCAGTCAAGTTGATAATGGGACAGATTATATTGCATGTGTGGGGCAAAGGGTATATCTCTGTACCTCCCTCTCAATTGTGCTGTGAAACCCAAAAATGCTCTAAAATAAACAAAAAGCCAAGTCTCTGACTATAGATTTCTTTTTAAGATTTTATTTATTTGAGAGAGACAAAGCACACACAGAAGGAAAGGCAGAGGGAGAAGCAGACTCCCCACTGAGCAGGGAGCCTGATGTGGGATTCAATCCCAGGACCCCGAGACCATGACCTGAGCTGAAGGCAGACACTTAAATGACTGAGCCACCCAGGAGCCCCAAGTCTTGACCATAAATTATGAGTTTATAATCAAATGACAAGGAAAAGGATGAAAATCAAGGAGTAAAACATCTAAAGTTGTTGTAGCATGCATAGCAGACTATAACTTGGGTAACGTTTGCCTCATTTTGAATTATTTGGCAATTTGAATTTGAGGTACCTTCAAAACAGCATTCATCTTGGTCGTAAATATTACAATGCATGTGGCATATAAACAACCTTATTTTGGATGAGCTAAGTGCTTTTCAAAGATCTGTTATTAAATCAATATTTAACATCGGTCTCTTAAAGCTATGTGGAGTCACCTTAAATTTTGATGATTGTTCTTTAGTAAACATCTTTCAATAGAGTCTACTAAAGAGAAATACATTCAGAACTGCTTTTTATTTCCTAGAAGAAAAAGGACTTACCATCTTCACCACATCTTATGGAACCTGTGATACTTCCGTCTCTGTCTTAGATCCATCATGGCATTACAGTCCAACTTGTCACTGAGTTTAAACCATACACCCTTACCTTTGTTTCTGGCATTCACGAATACTGTCATATCATAAGACTCAAGGCATATTAAAAATCATGGTCTTATTTCTAATGTTATCCCAAGCACACAACAAGCGGACAAAAACCTTTAATTATTATGTACTAGTGGATAAGTGATCTTTTAGGAAATTTTATTATGAATAATTTAGTAAAAATTGATTTTATGCACATTTTCCTTATATATCAACTCCTAAATAAATTATACTATTTTTAAATATACATATGTATTCACCATATAAATATATATATGTCTGTGTATATATCTACCATGTATAGTATATTATATATTCTATTGGTGGTGCAGTAAGTGCCTGATGTGTGTGTGTGTGTGTGTGTATGTACATGCATATGGAAATATATCCTCCTTTCAGGAAACATTAGTTCTCTAGATCAGAGACTAAATAGGTTATTACTCACAAAGAGCTATATTGCCAGTTCTCTGAGCTCCAGTCTCTGACCCGGCAGACTCCAACTGATCAGATGCAGTGACGGCCCAAGGTGATCGTCATGCTCAGGGAGTGGCTTTGCGCCATAGGAAAGGAACCTCTGAAGTAAGAGACTTGGAACTTTTACAGGGTGCTGGCCCATTGGCCCATCCTCCCCACAAGAGAGAAAGGGAAGGAGACTTTTGCTCTGGAACAGAGACAAATTTGTGGGGAGAGAGAGGAAGGTTTTTACTCCTCTGAAACGTAAGCAAATGGCTCCAGAAAGATGTCTCTGTCTCACTTGAGGAGCATATACTCTAAGGTCCAAGGCTTGTTTGCGAATCATTTTCTGGCCAAGTTTGCTAGCACTCTTCCTTCAGAAAGCCTGGACCATGCAGAAATGTGAAAACCTCATAGGAACTGTCTCCTGTTAATGGGTGGTAATGAATATATTAAAGCATAAAATGCACGTAGATGAGTATAAAAATCAGAAGTTCAGTAAGTTTTTACAAAATAAGCACACTGCTGTGACTGCCATCCAGCTAAAACAACAGAATTATGACACGTGTTCGAAATTCCTCATGACCTAACCACTAACACTCTCTTTCCTGCAAACACCACAGAATAATTTTGCCTGTTTTAAAATTTATGGAATTTTTTAAATCTTATTTTCATATTGGTGAATGTCAGATTTGTTTTTGTGATTAGCTGTAGTTTATCACAGTATTTCATTATTTAAATAGATCAAATTTTTAAAGGTTAAGTACACATTCTAAAATCATCTAAAAGGACAAGTCAGTGGCAACATCCTTCTGATAGAATTACTAAAATTTAAAATTTAATTTACTTGCATATTACTTTCCTAAAGACATAAAGTTGCTTAAATATGAATAATATGGATGACTTCTTTTTAAGACTGTAGCATTAAGAGTAAAGCCAATATATTTTTTTAAAATGGGTGATTTACAATGTTGTTAACACTCCCACAAAATTTAAAAGCATATGTATATCATGATTGATTTAATGAAGTGATTAATGATTTTATGCACATTCCCGCAGCTTATTTTGGGGAGCAAAAGGTGTGCAAGCTTCTGAAAAAGTTTAGAACTCTTGTTCTAGATATTTATTTTTCTCTATTTTTTTCTGCACTCCTATTTTTTCATCTTTCTGAATCTCTCTCCACCATTTCATTATCCAGTCTTTATTTCTTCCTTTGTCACTCTAATTCTTGTTAAAAGCCATTTCTCACTAAATATTTGTCCATAAATATAACACAGTCAGTAGAAAATAAGAGCTTCCACCACAGGTGGAAACAATTTATGGATTTAAAGAAAAATTGTTATGTTTTAATCATTGTTACCTAGATAGTTTAACATACTCATTTTGTGGATCAGTAACCTTAGCTCAAATAGGTGATCATTTACTCATGGACACAGAGGTGATTTTTCTCAGAACCCATGTTGGAATCCAGTTGCCTGAAATGTCATTGACTTTCCATGGTGTTCTTGATCCAACACCCAACCTTGGATACACAGAATTTTTCAAAGGCTAATGAAGTCTCACAAAATGTACTCAGGAGCCAGCTTGTGTGGGTTGCTACTGGTCAAACTGAGTTGTCAGGCCTCTAAAATACAATTGTTGGGCTGACAGTTGCCATTATCCCACAAAATGAAGAGAGATGGTTCTCGAGATGGAGATGACAATGAAATATTTATACCATAACTGAAGGCTTATAAATCATGAACCCTGTTCAACCACTGGACATTTCAAGTAGGAAGTCAATAAATATGTTCTTTTATTATTTTTCTGTAAGTATTAGTCACTTGTAAGCCCCTTGTAATTGAAAGAGATTGTGGCCTAACTGGTAAATGAGTATTTTAATTCAAGCTGCTTTAAAAAGACTCTATTTTCTAGAAGTTTAAATTTAAATAATGAAGTTCTGGAATAACATTTAAAAAAAAAAGCATATCATTAGACTTCATTTCCTGATAAGATAGATTAGCTGGCATCAGCATACCCTCCTATCAGAAAAAAAAAAACATTAGAAGACTGTACAAAACATATCTCTAAAAGACTGGAAACTACGCAGTGCAAGTCTGTGATGATAAAAAAAAAAGGGGGGGGAACACCCAAACCCAAAAGCACTGTCTATGACTGTTTCAGCTTTCTACTAGGAGAGCACTTTCCAGACTGTGTTGTGGGGGCAAGGGGTAGGGGGAAGCCATGCAGAGTCCAGGGGTCTTCCTGAACTGAGAAGAGCAAGATCACAGTATTGGAGACCATGGTGGCTAGAATGGCTAGAATTTATAGGGCAGAATAACAGAGAGAGGGTATTATGAGGAGAAAGAGCTAGAGAAGTTTTCTGAAGAGTGTTCTTGAGTCTTTGGTTGAGTACTAAGCTGTGCAAGCATAGGCTGGAATTCCATGAACTATCTTAAGAATGATTGCCAGAGAGTTGTAAAGATGAAGAATTGCAAGTGTTCACACAGGTCTGGGAGAAGCCTTCATATTATACAGTTTCTTAAGGAGTTGTTTTCCAAAGCCACTGACAAATAAGCATAATGCTCACAGGTACAAAATATTTTAAACATAGAAACTGATGGTTTATTGAATTAAGCCTGTGAATTTAATAAACACACATAAAATAACTATAAAAAACTATCTTATTCATAAGACATTTTAACTAGCATTGGACTTATGTTCACTTAAATAGTCTATTTTCAGTTTAATACTCCAGTTTTAAATAAAGTTGATTTCCAACTAACTTGATAATTTTCACGTAAGCAACAAATGGGTGTTCCTTTAACATAAAGGGACTGTCTTCTAATATTTTTATTTATTGCATGCACCAGATTCATGTAGGCAGGCAAACTATGCTATTTGTATATCTATCAGACTCAACTGGAACCGAAAAACAAATGCATAATGATAAAAGCCAGTGGTGAAACCTACACTTAGCCCCTGACAATAGATATATTTTTTTAAAAAATCACATCACATGTCAGGATGTGAAAGGACAGCATTTTACTTACTGGTGGAGCTGCATTTGGGAGGAGAAGACCAGCCATCTTTCATACATGAAATGGTGTCACTATTATTAGGAAGGCTGTAGCCGACATCACAGATAATTTGCACAGTGTCACCTTCCAGGTGTGTTTGTCCTGAAGATGCAGAATGACCATTTTCCACAGAAGGAAAGAAACACAGTCCTAAGAACCAAAAATTGTTTAATGTACAAGATGGAAGTGGTAAAAAAAAAAAAAAAACACCTAAATTTCCTTTTTACAATATTTTAAGAAGAATGGCAAACTTTCAAAACTGAAATCAGGTATGAAAACAAAATTTCTAAAGAATTCTGATCATGCTACTATATACATGATATTACTTTACAGAAGTAATTTAGAAGAAGATATTTAATTTACAGAAGTAAATTAACATTTCATTCCGTTCTATGGTTTTTACAAAAAAATATTTGATTTTTATAAACTTTTCTAGGTACAAAATTAGATTTTAATATATCCATTTCTCTCTTAATTCTCATAAATGTTTCTTACAGAAGGAGAAAGACCATTACTGTCTCCTTTGTTGGCTCACATTTTCTGCCTGCCATTGTTTTTTTCTTTTTTCTTTTTTTTTTTAGATTTTATTTATTTATTTGAGATAGAGAGAGAAGGGGGGGCAGAGGGAGAGGGACAAGCAGACTCCTCGATGAGCACAGAGCCCAGCACGGCGCTTGAGCTCATGACCCTAAGATCATGATCCGAGCCGAAATCAAGCATCAGATACTTAACCAACTGAGCCAGCCAGGCACCCCCCATTGCTTTTTGCTTAATATACCTATTCTCTCTTGAGTCTGCTCGTCACATTCACCTAAGGATTAATATAGATATCACTGTAAGAACAAAAGACGTGTTTTATGGAAAATATGAAAGTGAAAATATTTACACTTAGACAATCTTTTCAATACTCAAGAGAATGGTAAGTTTCAAAACAGAATGTGTATGTAAAAAGATTTGTTTTAAAGGAAAAATATGCCCAGGCTAATACCAAACAAATATTAGGAAATACATATTAATAGTCAAATATATAAATCATCAGTTTAAAATTAAAAGGTGTAAAGCACTTCTAGGTAACACGAGAAAGTTCACATATTTATTCTTCATTTGGTTTTCATAAAAGCCTTCTCAAGAAAGGACTACATTTCTCATCTTCGCTGGCTAGTGCTGATCCGTGTGATTGTCTGCCAAGGGCCTGATGTCACATCTGGAACATCTCTATTTACTGAATGATGCATCCACATCTACTGATCAGGGCATTTACTCACTGAGACACTTGGGTGTTGGTGACCATCCTTCCTCCGTGCAGATTATGCGAGTCCAAAAGGATCGTGAAGGAGATGCAAAATTATATTCACAAGAATAATAATAAATTTCCCCAACAGTACTTAGGGAAGGCTCCTCATCGGACTCTTTGCCATATATAATTCCATGGTTTATTTTTGGGAAACCACAATAGGAAAACGCTGGGAAAAATAAAACTGAAGAATTAACCTACATTAGTAATTCATTAAGTCATCTTTTAATCATCTCTTTGATTTTATTTTCTTTCATCCAGCTCAAGTTCCTCTACCTTACATGCCTTGCAGTGTTCTAATCAGTCGAGAACAAAAAAACAATCTCTAATTAAGAGCACAAGAGTATTTGAAAAGTCTGTTGTCAATGAACATGAAATTTATGTTTGGAGTCATGTGGAATAAACTCTTCCGCAGTAACTCCGAGAAGAAAATCCCACACAGCGGTCTATGAGCGGCGGCCGAGGGGAGCAGGTCACGGGTCCACACCGCGAGCTGACAGGCAGGGACAGAGTCGTGTGGGCTCCCCCGGCCTTTCCTTTTTCTACTCTGATTCAGTCTCTGTGCTGTCTGGTTTTTCCTGGTGCTGGGAGGATGAAGCGGTTTTGTTTTCTCCTTATGTGAATAAAGAAAACAACTTCCAGAAACTCAGCTCACCAACCAGTTACCTCAGGAAATTCTCTTTTGCATTTGTCTAGAGGTGACTTTCCGTGTGGCACAATATTTCACACTAGTGATGCCTGTGGTTTTTAACCTGCGTAACTCGGGGTTACTTATCTGTTTACAATTTGATACGAGGTGGAGGAAAAGACCCTCCGTTAAACATTGACAGTCACACCTCCCAAAATTATTTTTCCAGATATGCTTTGCGCTCCCCTCAAAGTACAGCGTTTGATTTCCATGCATTTCTACCTATGTATACTTCACTATCCAGAATAATGTCCCTTCCATTCTCCCATCCTCCCCCTTCTACCTATCCTTCAACACTCATTCTGCAACATTTAGCAAAAATATTCATTGTGCACACAGCAGTGTGATAGTTCTGAAAGTTAACTTCTCTTGGCAGACCTCCCTTAGCCAGTCACCCTCTCCCAAAAGTAGGAGATGTGTGCTGTCTCTACACTCTGATAAAAGCTCATGACTACATTTCCAATGAAACTGAGACACACACTCATATATATACACACATATATCACACGTATCTACATAGACACACAGTCTTGCAATCTATCTACTTATTGACACGTTTTGCTTTCCTCCAAGGACACTCAAAGCTGTAGTGAGGCACAGAGTTTTCATTTTCTTTTGAGCTTCTTTGCTGCAACATGCAGCATAATACAGTGCTCGATCAATATTTCACTACGGAACGCAGGCAGGGTTTTTATATAAGCGTGACTTTAACACACTGCTTTTGCTCTGGGACCAGAGCACCTCAACACGCACCTCAGCCTAACTGCAACACAAAATTAGAAGCCATTTAACAGTGACACAAATTCTGGATAGAGCTTCACTGAAGGTTCTCCGGAGTTTGAAGTTTGAATATCTTTTTCCGGGTTCTGGGTTGTAAAAATTCTACATATTATTCTCATATTTTACACTTCTTTTCCTCTGCTTTTTGCCCATTTAGAAATCCTCTCAATGCCATCACTAACATGTTTAAAACAATATTTATCAGACCCACGGGTAAAAAATAAAAATCAAAGACACCTATCTATACAGTTCTTCAATGAGGCTGTTGTATGTCTAATCAGAGAATTTGGTATTTTTAATTGAGACTAAGCAATGCCTGTTGCACTTTTACCCCCATCAGCTAATGATTGTCCTGTGATTCTATCTCAATGCTAAAAGTAGTAACAAACAAAAGGAGTTTCAAGTCTATAGAAATAAGGTTTTATAACTTTTATGAGGGTGGCTCTTAAAGCATTTTTATTGTTCCTATTTTTCCTCTTAAGTTAGGATTAAGGAGAAACTTTCCCCAAAGAACATCTATTATATGCAAAAATTAGCAAGCAACAAACTAGCAAAATAAATCCCTTCTGGTAATCAAACAATAAAAGGTAGGACTGAAAGTCCACTTGCACATGTGGTCTAATCAGCGGTCCTGGATCTTGTTAAAGAGGTTCCATTTGCAATTATTTGGATATGATGACTTTTATTTCAACATGAAATAAGATGAGACGGTTTTTAAAATATTGTAAGATGTGGTTTATAGTTTGAATAAAGAAAGGATGGACAATTTCTTTTCACTTTTAACATTTGTTGAAGAGCTCAGAAAAGCAAATAACAACCAAAAAAAAAAAAAAAGAAAACAACTCATTGACATTTCACTGGCTTATTACACACAAAAATTAGGACATACTGCACTGTTTTACTAAAAGAGATTCCCCTTAGTTGAATGATAATTAGATTGAAAAAGGAAGTTCCTGGTTTAATAATATTTAAATCTTAAATTAACAAATCTATGAAAATACAAATATTTTGAAGGTGTCCAGATTTTCTTGGGATGTTTTTCTGGCCAGTGGCATTGCAGAGCTTATGGAGAATTACACTGGTACTTGACCCTTTTGACTTTATGATATGCAGCTTTTTCATCCTGTAATTCCTCTCCAAATGTTGTATTTGGTGGCTATTCACATGGGAACTTAGAGGACAGAGAAAATAATTTCATTCTATTTTCTCTTAATTTCATATTAGAAAACATTTTGATAAAATAGATTAAATTATAAGCCTTTATTCAAAACGTTCTTACCTATTTATTCATTTTAAAACAGACTTACACACTAATACACACCCAACACACACATATGAGAGAGGAACTAAATATTCAGGTCTGCTTTT